ACTAGAGGCTTTAAAGAGTATATGTTGATAACCTAGGTTTATGTGCATCTTCAACAATGTACAATCTCCAACATTGTGGACTAAAATAGAATTCATGACAAAAGTCTCTTTTTTGTTGATCTTGTATTGCTGATAATTTTTTATGTTTACAGTTTCTCTCTATCTTTTTTAAATTACTTTTTGTCCAAAACACAAAAAAAGGGTAAAATAATCATCATTTTAGGGCAATCACTCCTATAACGTGTCTTGTCTTTCTGATCATTTCTATTTTTCAAGTGTTTATCTATCTTTTATTATTTTCAAGATAATAGGCACAGAACCAACACAGGACTGCTGACTACAGGGATGCAAGGTAAAAATATCTCCAAAATAAGACTCACAAGTACTTAAAAGTCAATCAAATCAAATCAAATCAAAAGCGTTATTGAAAGTCTGCTTGTCAAAGCAAGAGAAGACTGATACATATAATGCACAGACTTGAGAGAAATGAAACTAGAACCCATTAACACAGGGAATGATTATCTGTTATTTGGCTATTCTGTGGGAATAACATATTCAAAAACAAATGTTTTCTCACAAATATGTGATAATCCCTTAATTCCACAGAATTTTGGTAAACAATATGATAGATTGTCAAGGATGATGTATTGGTGTTTAATATCCAGCAGTAAATATTGTTTGTAAATCAGGACAATAACATGTGATATGAATATGAACCCTACTTTGTACCAGACCAACACACTGAGGATGAACATGAACCCTACTTTGTACCGGGCCAACACACGGAGTATGAATATGAACCCTACTTTGTACCAGACCAACACACTGAGGCAGATTTTAACATGCTAGTTCGCATGGTTCACATGATAACAGCACACATGAAGTCATATCACATTAACGGACACATTATTCTGACTCCAAGTCAACCAGTCTTTGCTCTTACTCCTAAATGCCATGTGCTTAGCAGAGATGCAGCAATTAGCAATTGTTAAGTAGTTGGTCTGACTTAAAGATCTAACCTTTGACTTCCAGCAATTGAGATGAGCACATACCACACGACCATTAAAAGATCTAACCTACGACTTCCATCAATTGAGATGAGCACATACCACAAGACCATTTAAAGATCTGACCTACGACTTCTAGCAATTAGGATGTGCACATACCACAAGACCATTTAAAGATCTTACCTACGACTTCCAGCAATTGAGATGAGCACATACCACAAGACCATTTATAGATCTAACCTACGACTTCCAGCAATTGAGATGAGCACATACCACAAGACCATTTAAAGATCTAACCTAAGACTTCCAGCAATTGAGATGAGCACATACCACAAGACCATTTAAAGATCTAACCTACGACTTCCACAATTGAGATGAGCACATTCCACAAGACCATTAAAAGATCTAACCTACGACTTCCAGCAATTGCGATGAGCACATACCACAAGACCATTAAAAGATCTAACCTACGACTTCCAGCAATTGAGATGAGCACATACCACAAGACCATTTATAGATCTAACCTACGACTTCCAGCAATTGAGATGAGCACATACCACAAGACCATTTAAAGATCTAACCTAAGACTTCCAGCAATTGAGATGAGCACATACCACAAGACCATTAAACGATCTAACCTACGACTTCCAGCAATTGAGATGAGCACATACCACAAGGCCATTTAAAGATCTAACCTACGACTTCCAGCAATTGAGATGAGCACATACCACAAGACCATTAAAAGATCTAACCTACGACTTCCAGCAATTGAGATGAGCACATACCACAAGACCATTTAAAGATTTGACCTACGACTTCTAGCAATTGGGATGAGCACATACCACAAGACCATTAAAAGATCTAACCTACAACTTCCAGCAATTGAGATGAGCACAAACCACAAGACCATTAAACGATCTAACCTACGACTTCCAGCAATTGAGATGAGCACATACCACAAGGCCATTTAAAGATCTAACCTACGACTTCCAGCAATTGAGATGAGCACATACCACAAGACCATTAAAAGATATAACCTACGACTTCCAGCAATTGAGATGAGCACATACCACAAGACCATTTAAAGATCTAACCTACGACTTCCACAATTGAGATGAGCATATACCACAAGACCATTAAAAGATCTAACCTACGACTTCCATCAATTGAGATGGGCACATACCACAAGACCATTTTAAGATCTGACCTACGACTTCTAGCAATTAGGATGTGCACATACCACAAGACCATTTAAAGATCTTACCTACGACTTCCAGCAATTGAGATGAGTACATACCACAAGACCATTTAAAAATCTAACCTACGACTTCCAGCAATTGAGATGAGCACATACCACAAGACCATTAAAAGATCTAACCTACGACTTCCAGCAATTGAGATGAGCACATACCACAAGACCATTTAAAGATCTAACCTACGACTTCCACAATTGAGATGAGCACATACCACAAGACCATTAAAAGATCTAACCTACGACTTCCAGCAATTGCGATGAGCACATACCACAAGACCATCAAAAGATCTAACCTACGACTTCCAGCAATTGAGATGAGCACATACCACAAGACCATTTATAGATCTAACCTACGACTTCCAGCAATTGAGATGAGCACATACCACAAGACCATTTAAAGATCTAACCTAAGACTTCCAGCAATTGAGATGAGCACATACCACAAGACCATTTAAAGATCTAACCTACGACTTCCAGCAATTGAGATGAGCACATACCACAAGACCATTTAAATATCTAACCTACGACTTCCAGCAATTGAGATGAGCACATACCACAAGACCATTTAAATATCTAACCTACGACTTCCACAATTGAGATGAGCACATACCACAAGACCATTGAGGGAGTCTTTTGTCATGAACATTTTGTATTAACCTTTTTTTAAGTTATAAAGGAAAATCATTTAACATCATTAGAGAAACTTATTTCTTACTTCCTGATTACATTTTTCTCCAAAAACTCAAATGGCTGGGTTGCAGAGAATGATTATTAAACAATGGGGAATGGTCTAAAAGAAACATTTGAATATATTGGAATATATATCTGTACAAGCTGAACTGTTAGCTAATGTTCACTACTGATATACACTAGCCAGTTGTGAATCCTTCCAAAAGTGAACTTCAGATAGTATGTGTTTGATTGTAGAACAGAAAAATCAAAGCAGCCTCGATGTTGTGATCCTGCCAATTTTGTAGCTATTCTGACATTTTTTCTGACCTCACTTTCAATATTTTTTTCAATCTTTATTTCCATAATCTTACTGTAAAATTTCTATTCCATAGCCCAAAGATGGAGTATTTCGTAATATTGATGCAAATTTTTTTTTTATTTCAATTTTAGACAAGCTCAGATTTTTTAACATCTTTTTTTAGAAACATTTTGCAATTTAATGATTTTGACAAGAATGAAAAGGGAAATCTTCAAAAAAATAGTATATTTTGTATATGCCATTAATAATAATTGGCTTAAAAACTTCAAGAAAGAAGCATTGAAAATGCACTTTCTCAACGACAAAAAAAAATAAAAAAAATAAACTAATATTTTTCTTAATTTTTGTTCATTCTTTATTATAAAAAAATACATTTCCTGTATTCAAATATACCTAATGCTGAGATATTTCCAATTACTGTTAAATAGCAATATAATGGGGAAAATCAAATAAATTTTATTGCAGAAAATTCTCAGGTAAGAGTTATGCAATTTTATTTATTGTATAAACAAATAAATTTTATTGCAGAAAAGGCTCAGGAAAAAGTTCGGCAATTTTGTTTATTATTTTAACCAAATTACTAATAATTGTAACTTAAATAGACCTTAATCATTGACTTATGTCTGATGATTATAACACTGATTTTACAAGTGAAATAAAATCTGCTTGCATTTTTTATATATATTTGATTTTTTGTCTTTTCTTTGAAAAGAAAACACATCTTATTAATCATTCAGCTTTATATATATAAACACAAAACTAACAGAATAATTTTATGTAGTGTAGATCAACATAAATACATGTAATAGGTATACTATTGAGGTAAAGAATTTGTTTATTCAGTTAGATGTGTAATAAATCGTAAATTTAATTATGATTTGTTTTGATTTTTGGTGTTTTAACGCCACTTTTAAGCACCTCTTTTGGGCTATTTCGTGGTGGCCAGTTTTTATTGGTGGAGGAAGCCGGAGTGCCTGGAGAAAACCACAGACCTTCGATAGGAAAACTGACAATCCTAGTCTATTAAGATTGGAGTCGAGTGCACCCGCACGTGCGGGGTTCGAACTCACAACGTCAGTGTTGACTGGCTAGTGATTACAGTAGTAACTACTTAGACCACTCGGCCACCGAGGCCCCATATTTAATTATGTACCACATGATATATTAACTGTGGTCAATTAAGACTGCTTAAGAGTGGAGTTTAATCCAACTAATATTAACACTTCTGAGTGTAATTGTTTGAAAAAAATACTAATATTGTATCAGTACTCTTACTTGCCTACGGAAAGAATTGGAATAATAGCATTTAAAAAAAGTGAGGGAATTTACTCTGATATCAATACACATCTTGTACAAAATTTTTATTCAATAACTTACAAGAACATAAGATACAGATAAAATACTGTCATAATTCTTATCAACAGCATAAATTTGATATATATATATATCACTTTTTCACATTTAATTAATAAATGGCAATTTAATATACATTTTGATTTACAATGGAACTATATACAAGTGTATATTTAATATAAAGTAGCTGTTCGACCAATATTTTCTTATTTAAGGGCAATAACAAGTCAAAAGTTGGCAGTTGATGATTAAAATGATGTATTAAGTTTCTGCAAGTCATAAAAACACATAATTAGGATCATGATATGTCTTCAACTTAGAATTCTGCACCATCTCAAAATCCAGAGTGATCACATAAATCCAGCATGGCTGAATCAAAAACAATAAGCCTATATTTTTAATGAAATAAGCAAATTTTATTTTATTTTTTGTTTATAGCCCCAATACTACCTTAATCAAGTATTTTTCAAATGGATTAGAATGTAAGTAAATGTATAACTGTGTACAGGGGAGATCACCAACAGCTTATCCCAATAATCATCTCGAATTCGAATTCTTGGTATTTTCCTTCATAGTATCTATATTTCCTGTACAAGTTTTTTATTGTCTTTCAGTAGTTTTTCTTTCTGAAAATATTCTACTTTTTGTTTGGTTTCATTCACTTCTGCTAAATCACTGCTCATGGCACCTAAAAAATATTTGGAGCATAAGTCAATATTATTGAAGTTTTTCACCAAATGTTTAGATACACCAGTAACTATTGTATCAACATTTCTGTGAACTAAATGAAATATGAATATAATTACAATAATTGCCATAAATTTTAGTAATAAAATAAGGAGATGTTGTGTCAATTTCAAACCTGACAAATGACATAATTTAGACATGAAGTACACAATTTTTACCATGTTTTTAGCTTATTCTCAATGGATGACAATGGTGGTTATCAACAATCAGCCAATGACATTTAGTTTTAACTTTTGATGTCTGGTGATCATGCATCCCAAAATAAACAAGAGGCTACTAAGAGCCTGGATCGCTCGCCTGAAATTTTTGTGTAGATCTTGCATCAATGATTATTTTGCTGTTAAATGTATATAAATGGGTATTCAAACATGTCATTTGAAATTTCTCTCTATCTGCCATAGTTTCTGCAAAAAAACTATAACAAATTGGTAAAAACATCTTTAAGGGCAATATAACTCTTCAAAATAAGGAGAAATTGACAATTTTAGGGATCAATTGATGATTTCTGTCATGTTGAATTATTTGTTGGTATTACTTTGCTGAATATATTTGCCAGTTTCTCTCCATCTATCATAGTGTCTACTAAAAGCAAAATAGAAATTGGTACAAATACTCTTTCAAGGGCAATAACTCCAGTAAAGGTTCGATTGACAATTTTGATCATGTTGACTTATTTGCAGTTCTTACTTTGCAGAACATATTTGTTTGCTGTTTGAAGCTTCTATCTATCTATCAGAGTTTCTGCCAAAAAATTTAAACAAGAGTGCACACGCTGAAATGTCTCGCCTTCTTTACTAACCATTGATATTATGTTGATAGTCCTAAATATAAAGCTTTACTACAACTATTACATAAACTTAACATGATCCAAGAAAATGAAGTCAAGTTCATATAAACCAAACGAGAAATACATGTACACCTTACAATCATTCAATACACTAAATATAGTTGACCTATTGCTTATAGTTTCTAAGAAACAGACTTAACCAAGAAAACTAAACATTGACCAATGAATCGTGAAAATGAGGTCAAGGTCAGATGAACCATGCCAGGCAGACATGAACAGCTTACAATCCTTCCATACAACAAATATAGCTGACCTATTGCTTATAGTTTAAGAAAAACAGACTGAAACACATAAACTTAACACTGAGCAATGAACCGTGAAAATGAGGTCAAGGTCAAATAAAACCTGCGAGACTGACATGTACATCATAAAATATTTCCATACACCAAATATAGTTGACTTATTGCATATAGTACAAGAAATGATTGTAACAGGATGCTGTTACGAAGTCTCCCAAAAGAAGCTCCCATAATTCGAAATTCCCAGTGTCGCCTGACATTGGACAAAGTCCAGTGAAAATTGGTTTGATCCAGTAAAGTATATGCATTAGTAATGCCTGGGGACTAACCCTGTATATCATTCAAATCATCTTGGCATGACAAACCAGAATATATATGGTTTAAGGGTGGGGATCTCGACCATTTACAAGATATTAGAACATTGGGGGTGGGGGGACCCCATGGGGACTGACCGTACACGTCATTCAAATATTCGAGACATGATGAACAGGAATATATATGGTTTAGGGGTGAGGATCTCGACCATTTACAAGATATTAGAACTTTCTCAAATGGCAGGGGGTCGGGATGACCCCTGGGGACTAACCCTGTATATCATTCAAACCATCTTGGTATGACAAACCAGAATATATATGGTTTAGGGGTGGGGATCTTGACCACTTACAAGATATTAGAACTTTCTTAAATAGCAGGGGGTGGGGGTGACCCCTGGGGACTAGCCCTGTATATCATTAAAACCATCTTCGCATGACAAACCAGAATATATATGGTTTAGGGGCAGGGATCTTGACCACTTACAAGATATTAGAACTTTCTTAAATGGCAGGGGGTGGGGGTGACCCCTGGGGACTAACCCTGTATTTCATTCAAACCATCATAGCATGACAAACCAGAATATATATGGTTTAGGGGTGGGGATCTTGACCACTTACAAGATATTAGAACTTTCTTAAATGGCAGGGGGTGGGGGTGACCTCTGGGGACTAACCCTGTATTTCATTTGATGTGCTTAATCATGACAAACCAGAATATATATGGTTTAGGGGTGTGGATCTCAACCATTTACAAGATATTAGAACTTTCTCAAATGGCAGGGGGTCAGGATGACCCCTGGGGACTAACTATGTATATCATTCAAACCATCTTAGCATGACAAACCAGAATATATATGGTTTAGGGGTGGGGATCTCGACCATTTACAAGATATTAGAACTTTCTCAAATAGCAGGGGTTCGGGATGACCCCTGGGGACTAACCCTGTATATCATTCAAACCATCTTAGCATGACAAACCAGAATATATATGGTTTAGGGGTGGGGATCTCGACCATTTACAAGATATTAGAACTTTCTCAAATGGCAGGGGGTCGGGATGACCCCTGGGGACTAACCCTGTATATCATTCAAACCATCTTAGCATGACAAACCAGAATATATATGGTTTAGGGGTGGGGATCTCAACCATTTAAAAGATATTAGAACTTTCTTAAATGGCAGGGGGTGGGCGTGACCCCTGGGGACTTACCCTGTATTTCATTTAATGGGCTTTATCATTTTGAACATTTTCAATTAAAAAGATTGTGTCTATCACAAACGGTTTTCAATTTATAATCATTTGAAAATTTAAAAAAAAAAATCCCATAGGGTTCTATAGTAAAACCCTCCTTTCTTTTTGCCCCTCAAATTACCCCTTCATGTTAGTCTAGCATATTGTGAAACCCTAAGTTAATCTGACAAGCGGTTTTGGAGAACGGGTGGGGACAAGTTCAAATTTAAAAGCGGCGGAAGAAGAAGAAGAAGAAGAAGAAGAAGAAGAAGAAGAAGAAGAAGAAGAAGAAGAAGAAGAAGAAGAAGAAATAATAAGAACTGAGCAAAACCAATAATAAGAAGAAAGACCAAAACTCAAAAACTTAACTTTGACCACTGAACCACGAAAATGAGGTCAAAGTCAGATGACACCTACCAGTTGGACATGTACACCTTACAATCATTCCATACACCAAATATAGAAGACCTATTGCATAAAGTATAAGAAAAACGGACCAAAACACAATAAAATGCTCCGCTAGGGCGCAGCTTGATACGACCGCAGAGGTCGAACCCTTAACAGTTGGAGCAAGTATGGACACAACATTCAAGATTGATACAGCACTGAATTTGGATTGTGATTAAATATTTGACACAGCATAGGTTTCTGACACAGAATGAATGTGGTCTAAGAACTTAAAAATTTTTAATTTACCTATTCAAACCATATCATTATTATTTGCTTTTATATATAAATCAGAAATAACCAATTTAAAATGGAAAATTTTAAAGAAAAAAAAAATCCCTCCACTAAATTTTTTGAACCCCCTTATGATTCATCATCCCCCAAACTCAATCCCAGCCTTCCCTTTGTGGTATGGTACCTTGCAGTACAATTTCAGAGAGATCCATACACTTGAACACAAGTTATTGTCTGGAAACTAGAAAAATGCTTGTTTTTAGGCCCCTTTTTGGCCCCAAATTCCTAAATGTTTAAGGCAATTACCCCCAAACTCAAACCCAGCTTTCCTTTTGTGATATGGAACCTTGTAGTACAATTTCATAAAGATCCATACACTTACACACGTTATTGTCCTGAAACTAGAAAAATGCTTGTTTTTTGCACCTTTTTGGCCCCTTATTCCTAAAATTTGGAGGCAATTACCCCCAAACTCAATCCCAGCCTTCCCTTTGTGGTATGGTACCTTGCAGTACAATTTTAGAGAGATCCATACACTTGAACACAAGTTATTGTCTGGAAACTAGAAAAATGCTTGCTTTTAGGCCCCTTTTTGGCCCCAAATTACTAAACGTTTAGGGCAATTACCCCCAAACTCAAACCCAGCTTTCCTTTAGTGATATGGAACCTTGTAGTACAATTTCATAAAGATCCATACACTTCACACAAGTTATTGTCCTGAAACTAGAAAAATGCTTGTTTTTTGCCCCGTTTTGGCCCCTAATTCCTAAAATTTTGAGGCAATTACCCCCAAAATCAATCCCAGCATTCCCTTTGTGGTATGGTACCTTGCAGTACAATTTCAGAGAGATCCATACACTTGAACACAAGTTATTGTCTGGAAACTAGAAAAATGCTATTTTTGGCCCCTTTTTGGCCCCTTATTCCTAAACGTTTTGGGCAATTACCCCCAAACTCAATTCGAGCTTTCCCTTTTGTGATATGGAACCTTGTAGTTCAAGTTCAGCAAAAATCCATATACTTACACACAAGTTATTATCATGAAACTAGAAAAATGCTTGTTTTTTTGCCCCTTTTTGGGCCCCTAATTCCTAAAATTTTGCGGCAATTACCCCAAAAATCAATCCCCACATTCCCTTTGTGATATGGAACCTTGTAGTACAATGTCAGAGAGATCCATACACTAACACACAAGTTATGTCTGGAAGTTACAAAAATGCTTATTTTTGGCCCCTTTTAGGCCCCTAATTCCTTAACTGTTGGTACCATAAGCCCCAAAATCAATCCCAACCTTCCTTTTGTGGTATTGAACCTTATGGTAAAATTTCATGGAGATCCATTCACTTAAACTAAAGTTAGAGTGCGAAAACCAATGTGTCTTCGGACGACGACGACGCCAACGTCATACCAATATACGACCAAAAATTTTTTAATTTTTGCGGTCGTATAAAAATAAAATTGGTTTCTAAACATAAAAGCCCATTTAAATACATCATAAGGTATTAAAATAGAAAGTGACATCATAGTCACAGCTAAAAATAAACAAAAATCCTTAATCAGCAACATTTAAAGTAATATCTAAAAATAAAATTCCTTTGTAACCATAAAAGCCCATTTAAATACATCATAAAGATATTAAAATAGAAAATGACATCATAGTCATGCCTAAACATAGCAAAAAACCCTTAATCAGCATCATTTAACAGTAATATCTAAAAATGGAAATTACATAATAAAGGTATTAAAATAGAAAATGACATCATAGTCATGGCTAAAAATAAACAAAAATCCTTTATCAGCAACATTTTACAGTAATATCTAAAAATAAAATTCCTTTGTAACCATAAAAGCCCATTTAAATACATCATGACAGATATTAAAATAGAAAATGACATCATAGTCATGGCTAAACATAGCAAAAACCTTAATCAGCATCATTTAACAGTAATATCTAAAAATAAAAATTTCTTTGCAACCATAAAAGTAAAATAGAAAATGACATCATAATCATAGCTAAAAATAAACAAAAATTTTTTTTATTACCAAATTTTAAATGGAGTTTATTAAACTAAAATAATAAATTTGCAACCATAAAACCCCATTTAAACACATCATAAAAGTATTAAATAATTCAACTACATCATAAGGCTATAAAAATAGAAAATGACTTCATAGTCAAGGCTAAAGGTAAACAAAAAACCTTCATCAGCAAAATTTTATATTGGCAAATTTCCAATGAAGTTTATTATACTAAAATTGTTGGCAAATTTCCAATGAAGTTTATTATACTAAAATTGTTGGCAAATTTCCAATGCATTTATTAACAATAAAGTTATTGGCAAATTTCCAATTTACATAATTTAAAAGCAGTGTAAGTGAGATATTTAAATGAGTTTGAATTACCAACCTTACACTGCTTTTAAATAATGTTTTGTACTTATTTGTCTATTAACCTGGAAACCCTTGTTTTTTCACCTTTTTTTCCCTTATTATTTAAAGGTTTGAGCCATAACCCTACCCCAAAGCCAATTCTTAAATTCCAATGTAACCTAAATTTACAATATAAATAACTTCAATTTAAGTTTTTGATAAAATCAAACCACATCATTATTATTTGCTTTTATATCTAAATCAGAAATAATTAACCAACTTTAAGTGGAAAATTTTCACATATCACGCCCCCCCCCCCCCCCCCCCCCCTCAAACTCAATCCCAGCCTTCAGTTTGTGGTATGGTACCTTGCAGTACAATTTCACAGAGATCCAATTACTTAAACACAATTAATTGTTGGAAACTAAAAAAAAATGCTTATTTTTAACCCCTTTTTTAGCCCCTTATTCCTAAACATTTGAGCAATTATCCCTCAAACTCAATTCCAACTTTCTCTTTGTGATCAGAATTAACCAACTTAAAATGGAAAATTTTAAAGAAAAAAAAAAGGAAAAAAAATCCCCCCCCCCAAAAAATTTTTTGACCCACTTCCCTTTGTGGTATGGTACCTTTAAGTACAATTTCAGAGAAATCCATACACTTGAACACAAGTTAATGTCTGGAAACTAAAAAAATGCTTATTTTTGCCCCCTTTTTTGGCCACTTATTAATAAATGTTTTGGGCAAACATTTTACAATAATATTTAAAACTGAAATTAATTTGTAACCTTAAAATTAAATAGAAAATGACATCATAGTCATAGCTAAAAATAAACAAACTATTGGTAAATTTCCAATGGAGTTAATTATACTAAAACAATAAATTTGCAACCATAAAAGCGCATTAAAATACATCATAAAAGTATTAAAAAAATTTAACTACATCATAAGGCTATTAAAATAGAAAATGACATCATAGTCAGACTAAAGGTAAACAAAAAACCTTCATCAGCAAAATTTTATATTGGCAAATTTCCAATGAAGTTTATTATACTAAAATAATTGGCAAATTTCCAATTTAAATAATTCAAACATAGTGTAGGTGAGATATTTAAATGAGTTTGAATTACCAACCTTACACTGCTTTTAAATAATGTTCTTTACTCAATTATTTGTCTATTAAAATGGAAACCCTAGTTTTTTAACCTTTTTTCCCCTTATTCCTTAAACGAAAAAAAATAATTACCCCTTTTTGGACCCCCCTCCCCCCTTATGATTCATCACCCCCCCCCCCCCCCCCCCCCTTTCCCCCCAAATTCTCTTTGTGATAAAAAAAACTAACTTAAAATGTAAATTTTAAACAAAAAAAAAGGAAAAAAAATAATTACCCCTTTTTTGACCACCCCCCCTATGATTCATCACCCCCCCCCCTTCCCCCCCAAACCAAGCTCAATAACAGCCTTGCCTTTGTGGTATGGTACCTTGTAATACAATTTTAGAGAGATCCATACACTTGAACACAAGTTATTGTCTAGAAACTATAAAATGCTTATTTTTCACCCCTTTTTAGGCCCCTTATTACTAAACGTTTTGGGCAATTACCACAAAACTCAATTCCAGCTTTCCCTTTGTGAAATGGAACCTTGTAGTAAAATTTCAGAAAGATCCATACACTTACACACAAGTTATTGTCATGAAACTAGAAAAATGCTTGTTTTTTGCCCCCTTTTGTCCCCTTATTCCTAAAATTTCGAGAAAATTAACCCCAAAATCAATCCCAGCATCGACCCTTTGTGATATGGAATCTTGTAGTACAATGTCAAAGAGATCCATACAATAACACACAAGTTATGTCTGGAAGTTACAAAAATGCTTATTTTCTGCCCCTTTTTGGCCCCTAATTATTTAACTGTTGGTACCATAACCCCCAAAATCAATCCCCACCTTCCTATTGTGGTATTGAGCCTTATGGTGAAATTTCATAGAGATCCATTCACTTAAACTAAAGTTAGAGTGCGAAAACCATTGTGTATTCGGACGACGACGCCGACGACGCCAACATCATACCAATATACGACCGCAAAATTTTTTTGCGGTCGTATAAAAACTAAACTATAACCACTGAACCATGAAAATGAGGTCAAGGTCAGATGACACCTGCCAGCTAGACATGTACACCTTACAATCATTCCATACACCAAATATAGTAGACCTATTGCATACAGTATAAGAAAAACATACCAAAACACAAAAACTTAACTATAACAACTGAACCATGAAAATGAGGTCAAGGTCAGATGACACCTGCCAGTTGGACATGTACACCTTACAGTCCTTCCATACACCGAATATACTAGACCTATTGCTTATAGTATCTGAGATATGGACTTGACCACCAAAACTTAACCTTGTTCACTGATCCATGAAATGAGGTCGAGGTCAAGTGAAAACTGTCTGACAGGCATGAGGACCTTGCAAGGTATGCACATACCACATATAGTTATCCTATTACTTATAATAAGAGAGAATTTAACATTACAAAAAATCTTAACTTTTTTTTCAAGTAGTCACTGAACCATGAAAATGAGGTAAAGGACATTGGACATGTGACTGACGGAAACTTCGTAACATGAGGCATCCATATAAAAAGTATGAAGCATCCAGGTCTTCCACCTTCTAAAATATAAAGCTTTTAAGAAGTTAGCTAACGCCGCTGCCGCCGCCGGATCACTATCCCTATGTCGAGCTTTCTGCGACAAAAGTCGCAGGCTCGACAAAAATGGGTCACCGGACTAATTTTCTTGCTACATAATAAAATAGGTAAATTCACAACACATTCTATTATTACAGTTACTTTATGTGAGTTATCTCCCCTTTTACTGAGTTATATCCCCTTATATGGCAAAGTTGAAAAAAAATGAATCAAGGTAAAATATTTTGTTTTTTGTAAAATACAGCCATAAATATGATAAAACAACTAAATTTCTATATTAACATGAACAGTCTTATACATGAGTCACATACTACTCTCGAAATTTGCACATTTCATTAAAGATCTAGACCGATTGTTATCTGCTATTTCAAATCCAAGATGGAAGAAGACACCCTAGCTACCTTAATACAGAACACTTACAAAATTCTAATTGGAGTTCTGTCACTGTTGACTGCAATGCCATACCAAATCTTTGTGTCCAGCTTAATAAAAACTCTACTTTCTTTAAACTTATAAACACTTTCTTTTTTAAATCTTTGTTTTCAAATCGTGTCTTCTCTTCTTTACTTTTCTTTATATCTAAAAATATATGTAATGAAAAAAGTATATAAAGAGTGTTAGTAAATGTTCTGCTTGTAAAAGAATATCCCTACTGTTTACAATTTCAATATAAAATGCTACAGAACTAAATCATTAATATTGTACCTACACTTTCTATGAAGCAAAGAAGTATAACGCGAGCATTAATAGTTATGCTATTTGTAGAAAATGTCACTGATTTATAATTTTTTAACACCACATATCATTGCAACTGATTTAATAGCTTGATGAAATAAAGCGCCAATAGCACAAAATTACTGACTGGTCTAAAAATACCTTGTGAACTGACTAAAAAATCAACATAGTTCCTTATCCACTATCAAAGAACTTATCATTAATTATTGTAATAAATCATATGAAAATAGTGGAATTAACTATTTTTGGAGTGTAAAAAATTCTTTTGATGTTTTAGATAAATTACGTGCTTTGATGGTCCTTTTGATTCTGCTGACAGTTTTGACTTTTCAACTCTTTACACTACACTTCCACACCACGGCCATCTTATCAAACAAAAGTTTTCCTATTTAATTAGATGGCTGAAAAATCTAGTTGCAAATATATTTGCTGCAACTCATCTAAAGCCTTCTTCTCTAATGAGAAAGGTAAAAATGCTAGATATACTTACTGGAGGTATGATGAGATTATTGAAGCGGTTAATTTTCTCCTTGATAACTTTTATGTACGTTTCAGCAATAAAGTGTATCGACAGGTTGTAGGTATTCCTATGGGCACCAATTGCACCCCTTTAATTGCAGACTTGTTCTTGTACTGTTATGAATCACAGTTTATGACCAAACTTAGTTAAATGAAAAATTCAACAACACTTATTGTTATCTTGATATTTTTTTGTTATAAAAATCAAGAATTTTCTTAATATACTGACGAAATTTACCCAAAGAAACTTACTTTAAATAAATCAAATATAAAGGGTAATAACTGTCCTATCCTAGATTTAGATATTTCAGTTTTACACGAGAAACTCTTCATTAAAATTTACGACAAAAGGGACAATTTTTCTTTCCCTATTGTTAATTTTCCTTTTTTGGATGGTGATATTCCTTTGGCACCATCTTACAGTGTTTATATTTCCCAACTGGTTTGCTATGCATGTGTCTGCAGTGACGTTTTGGATTTCAATGAAAGTAATAAATGTATTACTGGTAAATTATTAAGTCAGGGATTTGGTTACCACAAATTACTTAAAACCTTTACTTAATTCTTCCATAGATACAAAGATTTGGTTTGTAAGTTTGGCTCTACCTGTAGAAGACTTATTTCAAACGGGATAGCACATCCAAATTTTTACAGAGATGTTGTTTACCGAGCCCAGAAATTTAGATACAATCCTGGTAAACTAATCGATCCTTTAAATAAACTTATTCTAAAAGGTTACCAATTCAACACTGTAATTTTTTTCTCTTACTGTTAATGATGTCTTTACACTAAATCCATTGGATATTAGATACATGATTATTTTTATCAGTTGTTATTGGCCTTGAACTAGCTGTCAGTAACTGCGAGTACTCTCAGATATGTACTTACTGCCTTTTTTGTCATAGGGATGTATCATCTGGTCTGTGTTTTTGTTACTTGTTTTTCTGCTTTGTATTGATCTGATGAGTTAAGTCCTTTTCAACTGACTTTTATAGTTTGTTCATATGTTGTACTGTTACACCACTGTCCCAGGTTAGGGGAGGGTTTGGCGCCCGCTAACATGTTCCCTGCCACATATTGTATGTGCCTGTCCCAAATCAGGAGCCTGTAATTCAGTGGTTGTCATTTGTTGCTGTATATCATATTTGTATTTCGTTCATTGTTTTTTACATAAATCTGGCCATTAGTTTTCTCGTTTTAATTATTTTACTTTTGTCATTTCAGGGCCTTTTATAGCTATGCGGTATGGGTTTTGCTAATTGTGGCTATATTTGTTAACTTCTGTGTCATTTGGTCTCTGGTGGAGAGTTGTCTCATTGGCAATTATACCACATCTTCTTATTTGTATATATCATAAGGTAGCCATTACTAACTAAAGAACCATACTAACTGGATTATATTGACTGGGTCCCTGTATAACATACCTGTTGTCAATTCTGACATGGCCTTATGAAACAACAGGACCAGTTCTGACAAGGCAGCCATAACAGACTATAAAGGATCATATTGACTGGGTCCCTGTATAACATACCTGTTTTCAATTCTGACATGGCCTTATGAAACAACAGGACCAGTTCTGACAAGGCAGCCATAACAGACTATAAAGGATCATATTGACTGGGTCCCTGTATAACATACCTGTTTTCAATTCTGACATGGCCTTATGAAACAACAGGACCAGTTCTGACAAGGCAGCCATAACAGATTGTAAAGGATTATATTGACTGGGTCCCTGTATAATTCTGATTACATCCTCTATCATTGATATGTTGAACTGTCGTGAGGTCAAATTTTCTTTATCCCTCTATAAATAGAATCATACATAAAAGTTTGAGTCATTACAATACATAGGATACAGAATTTATTGATTTCTGGTATTACGATACCCAGTATATATATATGATACAGAATTTATTGCTTTCTGGGATGTTGGTTTTTTTTTTTGGTATTACAATATATACAGTAGAGTCTGATAATCTGCCCTCAAAATACTTTTTTTTATATCATTATTATGATTTTTATAGAATTGAACCAACAATCAAGTGTACAGTACAGTACAACACAAACATCATGATAACAGCACCACAAACTCTTAGCAAAAAGCTTCAGATGGCAGATGTACTGGACATATAATTTGCAATTTCTTCATTTCTGAATAAACCACAATATTTGATCTTTCAATACATATTATATTTAGTCTATTCACATTATCTTTTTTAACATAATATATCAGTATATATTTAAGTTAAAGTCCTCCATTTTGAAAGTCTGTCTATCATGATTTTTAACATCACTTCGGAATATTGGTGAAACAGATGACAGAATACCTGTGCTGCTGAAAACCATTTTTCTACTCTTCTTGTTCATGACTTGTAACTAAAAGTGACTTATGCTAGACCTGAACATGAGAATATTTTAGGTAGGACTTCTGTCTTTCACATGATATCAATCTGGTTTTTAGTAAAGATGCTCAATCCTTAGTTTTATATACATGTATAATGTTTGAACTTTTTCTGTCTTTTAGCTTTTTTAAATTTTTTGTTCATTATGTTGCCTGTCTAACTTCCATTTTTCTCTTATTTCACACTGGTATCTTCAGTATTAGCCTTATGCTTTCTTCATTCTTATTGACTTTCATAGTATTTACAACACTGTCATGTAATTTAGACTTTGATTCCTTGACAGATTTTTGTACAGACAGAAACTTGTCTAATATTGTGAAGCCCATATGTTGACATCTAGGTGTATTCTGCTTTTTGCATTTTTTTAATCATTTGCTTATTGTCAAATTGCTATACACCTCACATCTCCATTGATTCATGTTTTCAAATCTCTTTTTTTTCTCTCAACAAATTATAAAGAAGGAAATTGCTTGTACCACCTTTAGAACTTTGATAACATTTTCAGTATATTCCAATAGCTCCTGAAGAGCTTACAACAAAAGCACTTTTTGTAACTTTATGTTATGTCTTGACTAGAGACATTCTTTGAAGATGTTATAACAAGAGTGCACATACTGAAATGGCTCGCCTGTTTTACCATGTTTACTGACCATTGACTTTATATTGAAAGTCTTAAAGATAAAGATTTTACTACAAGTATCACATAAACTTAACATTTTTAAAGATCCATGACAATGAGGTCATGGTCAGATAAAAACTGTCACACAGACATGTACACCTTATATTTATTCCATACACCAAATATAGTTGATCCATTGCTTATGGTAATTGAAAAACAGACTAAAACACAAAAACTTAATGTTAACCAATGAACCATGGAAATGAAGTCAAGGTCAGTTGATACTGGCTAGACAGGCGTGTAAACCTTACAATCATTTCATACACCAATTATAGTTGACCTATTGCTATTAGTATTTGAAAAACAGACCAAAACACAAACTTAACATTGACCAATGAACCATGCAAATGAGGTGAAGGTCAGATGACACCGGCTAGACAGACATGTACACCTTACAATCATTCCATAAACCAAATAGAGTTGACCTATTGCTTATAGTACTTGAAAAACAGACCAAAACACAAAAACTTAACATTGACCAATGAACCATTAAAATGAGGTCAAGGTCAGATGACACCAGCTAGACAGACATGTACACCTTACAATCATTCCATACATCAAATATAGTTGACCTATTGCTTACAGTACTTGAAAAACAGACCAAAACACAAAAAATTAACAATGACCAATGAACCATGAAAATGAGGTCAAGGTCAGATGAAACCTGCCAGTCTGACATGTACCCCTTACAATCATTCCATACACCAAATATAGTTGACCTGCTTCTTGTAGTATCTGAGAAAGGAACCTAATCAAGAAACTTTAACCTTGATCACTGATCCATGAATTGAGGTCGAGGTCAGGTTAACCCTGTCTGACGGACATTTAGACGTTGCAAGGAAACCATATACCAAATATAGTTATCCTATTACTCATAATAAGTGAGAAATTCACATGACAAAAAAATGTATTTTTTTTCAAGCAGTCACTGAACCATGAAAATGAGGTTAAGGACAATGGGCATATGACAGACGGAAACTTTGTAATATAAGGTATCTACATACAAGGTATGAAGCATCCAGGTCTTCTACCTTCTGAAATATAAAGCTTTATAAAAATAGTTTATGCCGTCGCCGCCGGATAGTAATACCTATGTCTCGCACGTCGCAGGCAAGACAAAATCATAACACTCAAATTCTATAAACAATAGTAGCATAGGAGTGTTTCTAGAACATCTACATACTGTTAATATGTCTCTAACCAGATAAAATCCTTTAATCCCTATTTTCTTGAATTTTTCTTTGATATTTTTGTGTGATAATTGTTCATCTCAATCGACTCGATTGATAATGGTTCTTCTCAGTCGTATAAAGTGAGAAAACAATGACAGCATAAGCCAACATCATTGATGTTGTTGTAGAGGTACACAGATTTTCGATGAAGTTTCTCAGCTGCATCTCTTATTGCCCTTCGATGAGATTCAAGCAGAGAAACTACCTCTTGTTTTTCAAACCAAAGATAATCTATAAATACTTACATTTTGTAAACATTGGAAACACATCTGTATTGCCTCAGGAGGACTACCACACACTGCTGTATCTCTTAGTACTTTACTTACTGATAGAACTTCCTATAAAACAAACACTTTATTATGTATGTAGGATTTTGCAGCTTTTTGTGGTGAAATGATGGAGTAAATATAGCAACTAAGTCACATACACATATTTGTGATAGTTTAAATTCAGATACACATATTTGTGATAGTTTAAATTCAGATACATGTATTTGTGAGAGTTTAAATTCAGATACATGTATTTGTGAGAGTTCAAATTCAGATACATGTATCTGTGAGTGTTCAAATTCCAATGAATTTATTTGTGAGAGTTCAAATTCTCATACATGTATTTGTAAGAGTTAAAATTTCCTTACACATACAGCTAACTCTATTTAACTGGAAATTTCTAATGAGTCAAAGTTTTCCCCTGGTCCCAAACTTTGTTCCATTGAAATATATGTTTTTTGACTCCTGATGAGTCGAAATTGGATGAGTTGAAACTTCAGTTGACTCAAACCAAATTTATGGTCCCAAGGTTAACAAAAGCATTCAAATTCATTATTTATCTCCAACGATACACATATGTCAAAACATGACCTCATGGATTCAAATGGATTGAAGAGTTCATCTGAGAATACACCTGTAATTAAATTTCCAGTCACTGACCACTGTATTGATTTATGACATTCTTTTTTAACAAGTGCTTACATAAGATTATCATTGATCACCATGATAAATAACTAATGGTACATTGTTATTAGGCCTTCTTATTGTAAAATGTAAGGCACATGGTGGCTTCCAACACAAGATTTTCACCAAATTGTTTGACACTTTAGTTTGGTCAGTCATCAATTACGGCTCAGCTATTTGGGGTACGAGTGAGTTCTCCTGCATTTCAGCAGTTCAGAACCGAGTCATGAGATTTTAAATGGGAGTTGGAAAGTATCCCCCCAATGATGCTGTTTCAGGTGACATGGGTTGGAAGCCTCAATATGTTAAACAGTGGTCTAACATTTTAAGACACTGGGTAAGATGTACAAAAATGGATAATGACAGAATAAATTATAAAGTATTTATATGGTCAATTAGAAAAAGTAGTTATAAAATTAAAAATTGGAGTTATAAAATTATGGAAATGTTGAAACTTTACAATATGGACAGATTTTGTAATGTAGATGATTATATACTGATAAAAATACAATTTATCAGTTAGAAGAAAATATTTTTGATAATTATAAATTGAATTGAGTACAAGGCTTGATTCTTATGGTCAAGAAAATAAGTTGAGAACTTATAAATTGTTTAAATTTTCATACTCTACTGAACAATATTTGTTACAAAATATACCTACTCAATATGGCAGTGCGTATGCTAAATTTAGATGTAGAGTAGCACCTTTAAAAATTGAAACTGGTCGTTACGAAAGATTAGATTTAGATAAAAGATTGTGTTTCAATTGTTATAATATAGAAGATGAAAAACATGTATTGTTTACATGTCCATTATATGAAGATCTAAGACAGTCTTTATTTATTGATATAATTCATCAACATAATAATATGTTTTTAACTTTATCAGATGATGGAAAATTTATATTTTTATTCAAGAATGAAAATGTTTGTAGTTCTGTTGTGATATTGCACCTTTATGTTTTGTGTAAATAACAAAACTATGTTTTATTCTGATGTTTTAATATTGTATATAACAGTCTCTCATAGTTCTTTTAAGAATGGCACATGCTTTCTAAATTTTATATTGTGTAATAAATGTCATATTGTGTTTATATTTGTATGTGTGTGGTGAGACTATAATAAACTATTGAACTTGACCTATATGAAAAATTATTTAAAATGTTTTAAAAACAATTAACCGTAATCATACATTAATGAGCTTGGTTGTGCATAAAGAAGGAATTATGACTTAATGGTCAACTCATAACTACTCAATCGGCGTCTTTAATCTTTTTGTATTGTCTCTTGCAGAAAACTATTGAAATAAAAGAAATCTAAATTTTCTAAAATTTCTTGTATACGAGAATGTTCAATTTCGTCAACTTTAAATCAAGCTAAGATTGATTGGAAATTACTCTCTTGGCTAAAAACAACAGCAAAAAAATTGTAACTGTACAAAGAAATAAATAAGAGATGGAATAATCATATAATTTTATCAAAATGATAAAAGACCATTACATACAGATATATCGATCTCAGACCAGAATATTGATCCCCTATCCATATGCATTTGGATTTATTTTAGCCTAACCAAGCTAAGCAGAGAGTTGTGTCCCTTAGTCTGTCAAACTTCCGATATTCATTTGAGTCGAACTACGGGTATTTCGAAATATTTCTCTGGTCAAAGCTGACACTGAGATATTGAGAGTCGACTGTATTTGTGAAAGTTCAAATTCTTATATGTGTATTTGTGTGATTTCAAATTGTATTTTTGGGAGTTAATTTCTATACACACATTTGTGAGAGTTCAAATTCCCATAAACATATTTGTGAGAGTTTAAATTTGGATACACATATTTGTAAGATTTCAAATTCCTATGCATGTATTTGTGAGGGTGCAAATTGTATTTTTGAGAGTTCAAGTTCTGATAAAGATATATATGATATGTCAAATTTCTAAACATGTATTTACTTTTCAACATCTGTTCCAAATGACATAAATGAAAAAAGTAGAGAAAACTCTTATTTTACCCCCAAACTACAAAAATTGGATGTGTATGTCAATCAGATTATGAGTAATTACTGAAATGTGTGAATGGACACCAATGGTCATCTTAAATTTGTTCTGGCTATAATGTCTTTTAAAATATATTCATTCTGATCACCTTAAGTATTCAGCTTGGTTATTACATCATTATCTCTCATCCTTATTCTAAACTCTTTATATCACAGGTAGTTTAACTTAAGAAAGATTTATAAAGTTACCTTGGTAACCTCTATCGGAAATGACAAGTAATCTCCATTGTAAAGTCGACAAACAAAACAGTAGGCATACAGAACGTTTATGACATTGTTTTTCAGGTCTGCTGACGGCTTCCCTTTCTGTAATATGGAAAAAATAAACATATTAATTACAAAGTTTCTTTTAATGATTTACTGGTCTAAATTCAAAGAAAGATTGAGAGAATTTAGTCCAGCTTTGTTTCATAAAACAGAATGGCTTAAGTCAATACAAATATCTTTTTATAGGGACAAATCATACTTTGTAAAACAACACTTAGATTGGAACAAAAAGTTCACTGAAACTGACATCATCAAGATGATGGTTTTTTTTTTAATTGACAACATATTTGTTACAATTGGAGGACATGTTTTTAACAGACAATCAGTATTCCTATCCTAACCAAATGTGCCCCTCTTCAGCTGACTTGTTCCTTTATTCTTAAGAGGCAGACTTCAAACAGGAGCTTCTTGAGAAAAAATAAAAATAAATAGCATGCTCCTTAAACTTCTGTCTCCTATATAGATGATGTCCTTTCAAAGAATAATTCAAAGTATAGGTACTATGCTTACTGCATCTATCTTAATAAACTTGAAATAAACGATATAACAGATACATCTGCCTAATCTCTTTTTAATATCTTACATCTATAAATTGACAATGAGGGGTTGCTGATAAATAAACTTTATGGATTTTTTTACGGTAAATATAAGTCATCATTTCTAAAGTTTTATGGGGCCATCATGATATTTGTGACATTACTGAATATGACTTACCATTGTATTTCTACTTGTATAAGTAATATAACAGTTCCCATTGGTGGGGTAGGTACTGCTTACCCTTGGGGAGCAGCTGAGGTCACCCAGAATTTTTCGAATAATATCAGTAATATCTTGTACATAGATATCTGTGAATTTTATACTTACTGACAATAAAGTTGAAATATCAGTTATATCCTTCTGAATAGCTGGAATTCTTGTCTTTACTTTTCTCTCGTTCATTTCTGATATCAAAACCTGAAATAATTGTGTTCAGATATAGTGATTGGATTAATGATGATAATTGTTATAGAGGCCATGGAAATCATGTGTAACTATAAAATAGAAATGATTTCATCAAATATTGTAATTTCAAACAACAAAATAGAATTGAATTCATCAAGAAATCATAGATAAAAGGATATGTGGAGTATATGTCAATGAGCTACCCAACAATACAACAAAGTCATCCCTGTATTGCACAACTAAAGATGTGATATATATATAGATATATATGTTTGATTCTTTAAATCTTCAAATATACATATATTGGACCTCATTTCGGTGTGTATTCATGCAACTTTTACTCTGACCCATAGTAGGAGATGGGTTGTGCTTGTGCTCAGACTGTTCTGTTATTAAAAAGAAAGGAATGTCAGAATTAATAAGTGATACAAAAGAGCCATCATGGTGAACCATTTTGGTAGAATGCTCAAAACATGTTTAACCCTGTCTGAACCCCATCACCTTGCTATGGGCGAGATATGACAAAGACCGAGGTATATACCTTATCATTCCCCTATAACGCCCATATTTCTATCAAGTGAGGTATTAATTCCTCTGTCAACAAAACATTCCTAAAGATAACCAAGTTATACAGAACAAGCCTTATCATTCGACTATAACGTCCATATTTCTATCAAGTGAGGTATTAATTCCTCTTTCAACAAAACATTCCTAAAGATAACCAAGTTATACAGAACAAACCTTATCATTCCACTATAACATCCATATCTCTATCAAGTGAGGTATTAGTTCCTTTTTCAACAAAACATTCCTAAAGGTGTAACACCACTAAATCGGCCCGGCCAGAAAGCTCATACCAGAAAGTAGTACATATTTAACACAAAATAGTTCCTACGCATGAGTGTAACTTTCAAAATATGTAGAATATTTAGGTATTGTTGGTATGAAATGAAAGCTGAATGACTGTTGATCATTGTAGAACACTTTTTGACTTATAAGTTTGAATATTAAAAAAACTGCACCAAATTTTATAAAGAGGGTACTTTTTGCCTGTATGTCAGATCTGAAGTACCTGTTTTGGTACATCTGAAGTTCAGGGAACCAGTTCTTTCTTGTTTGCCATTAAAGGTATGTTGATTTTTCCAGTACAAGACACCATAAAGTGTTGCTTTGACATGCAATGATTGTCACTTTATTTGAACTTGAAACAAAAGAGCTGTGTCTGCTTGAAATTGAGGAATTTAACATAGAAAGCAATGGGGCCATGAATTAGTGGTGTACTTCCTATTACAGAGAATCATCAGAAATTCAATTTTTAGAAGTTGTACCTATTCCAATGAAAATAAGTCATATTTGATGTAAGTAAACATGTTTAATCATCTTTTTTGGATGAACAATTCTGTTTATGGGAAATTTCAGCTCTTAAATTGACATAATCAGGTATTTTAGCCTTTTATGGTCACACAACATGCATGCAGTTAAGACTTGACTCCAAATTCTTATTTTTACATTATTTGGGATTGCAATCAATAAAACATGTATATAATGACTTGTTTATGGTAAAAAATAGCTCTTGGTCAAATAATCCTATGATTTTTCAAGTTTTATTGGTTTTCTTATGATAGCCTTTTACAATCTAGGCAATTGGTATATACTCATATAAGAATTCCAAAATCTCACTGTACATGCAATTTTGAACCAGTTTAGCAAGTTATCCAGCTGAAAAATATATAAATTGCTCTTTATAATCTATGTTGTACCACAGAAGTATGGTTTATACCAAAAATGTCCCTTTTCCAATTTGAAGAAAAAAGGGGGGACAATTTTCTCAATTATGTCTTAGGTTTGGTCTAATATATTTTTATTAAATGAACAAACTCTGGTGAAATATGACTATTGGTAAGCACATTGTTTTCTTTACAGAAATTATTAAATACAACAATGATATTGAGAATAAAATAAGTATATTGGCCATTTATAATATCCATATGCAGTTTTCTTTGAATAACCTATATGTTACTACCAGTCCAATTTGAGCTTAAAATTAGTAAAATAGTATTTGGACTTAAGCTTTATGTGTTTTTTATTGCTTGAAATAGATCATAGAATGAAATAAAGTGATGCTGAAGTCAGTATAGCAAGTTTGGTTCTGTTATAGGTGTAACACCACGAATTCGGCCCGGCCAGAAAGCACATACCAGAAAGTAGTACATATTTAACACAAAATAGTTCCTACGCATGAGTGTAACTTTCAAAATATGTAGAATATTTAGGTATTGTTGGTATGAAATGAAAGCTGAATGACTGTTGATCATTGTAGAACACTTTTTGACTTATAAGTTTGAATATTAAAAAAACTGCACCAAATTTTATAAAGAGGGTACTTTTTGCCTGTATGTCAGATCTGAAGTACCTGTTTTGGTACATCTGAAGTTCAGGGAACCAGTTCTTTCTTGTATGCCATTAAAGGTATGTTGATTTTTCCAGTACAAGACACCATAAAGTGTTGCTTTGACATGCAATGATTGTCACTTTATTTGAACTTGAAACAAAAGAGCTGTGTCTGCTTGAAATTGAGGAATTTAACATAGAAAGCAATGGGGCCATGAATTAGTGGTGTACTTCCTAAAGATAACCAAGTTATACAGAACAAACCTTATCATTCCACTATAACGTCCATATCTCTATCAAGTGGGGTATTAATTCCTCTTTCAACAAAACATTCCTAAAGATAACCAAGTTATACAGAACAAACCTTATAATTCCACTATAACGTCCATATCTCTATCAAGTGAGGTATTAATTCCTCTTTCAACAAAACATTCCTATAGATAACCAAATTATACAGAACAAACCTTATCATTCCACCATGGTGTCCATACTTCAACCAAGGTAGATAACTCTCCACCTGCCATCAACCTCTCAAATTCTTTCTTTTCTTTGTTTGTTAATTTATTCCATACAGTCTTGGTATCATTTTCTAAAATACAAATTAAAATCACTCCTAGGAAGACCTTAACTTGTTAAGAATAGTGTATGGATATATTGAGTTGATTTCCAAACCCTGTACAAAGCTCTTTCTCAAAAAGTATTCATATTGTGAGTACCAGATATTTCAAAAGACTGGATAGAAAAGACAAAATTGCCTATGTTTTATTCATCTTTGAGAGACATATCTAATGCATGCATGTTTTAAGAGAGGTATTGTTTATGAAATATTCTAAATTTGGTTTAATGCTTTGATTTGAGCATGGTAAAATTGTTTTGTTTTGTTTACTATAGTGCTTCTGCTATTTTGTGCTTATTGTAGTTACTTAACTAATCTCTATGTGTATTTTATGTTGCAAACCATTTCACTTTTGCTTTTGTGTTTTTACCTGATAAGTGCATGCTTCAGTGTGGGTGTTTAAGCTGCTTTATAGAACTTTTGTGTTGCATGTTTACATATTAATATGAACTCTTGCTATATGTTTAATTGTATGTGTGCCTAACTTGATATGTATGTTTTGTTTGTTGTGCTTTTGTTTTGTCGGTTTTAAAAGCTCTTCAGAGCTTATGTTTGTAATTGTATTGCTTAAACCAACTCTAAATAAAGCTTTATGTCTTATTATGTCTTATAGACCAAAATACAGACTGATGAATTTATATAATAATGTATGTTTTTATGGGCGCACAAAGATACTTCTTCAAATTTAGAAACCAAAAGAATGTTTGTTGGAGAAAAATAACTGTATATATGTTGACATTGGTAAGGACAATTACCCTGAAATTTTGTTATACCCGTAATTACATACCTAAATCCAGACCTTGTAGTCTAGCCTCCAAATCCTCTTCATCTATAAAATAAACGCACGTTATTAAGGCAGCAGGTGTTATGCAACAGTCTGTTTCTCCTAAGAAATATCCATAGAATACTTGTTTGGACAGAGAATGTGTTATATTTTTACTGATAAAATACTGTGCAAAATTATAAGAGCTATCTTCTCATATTTTATCTAAAAATTGTATCGCTTAGTTTTCTTTTTATCACACAAAATTGGGTTTTCCATGCACGATCTATACATAATCAGGCAATTTTGCATACTGTTAATTCAGAAATTAATGCGAGGTTTTTATTAATGCGAATAATGCGACTGAAAGAGTATCGCATTAATAAGAACTCGCATTCTTATATCTGATACATATAACTGTATGTACATTTTTCTGAAATCGCAATAAGCAATCTCGCATTTTAGTCCTTTCTACAAAATTCGCAATAATAAATGCACGCAATAATTTCTGAATTTACAGTAACCTGTAGCGTGAAAAAAAGCCCTGTGACCCATACTTTTTATTATATTTTTGATATAAACTACTTTTTGGATAATTATTAAAAATATTTTATCGATTTTAATTAAGACCGCCATGTATACTTAAACAAATTTCTCCGACATTTGGTTATTTTTTCCATGAAGTATAAAAAGAAATCCTCCTGAAACACTAATTGCCTTCCAGACTCACTTACACTTAACATTGACCCTTCTGGGTCAAAGATTGGTCTTTTTGGAACTATTAAAATATAATTTTCACGTGAAATCTTGAAAGTAGACAGATAGAAATAGGTTGAAACCTGTGTTTTAATTGGGACTTGAAGTTATTTATAATTTGTAACCAAAAACAATTACTTATGTTCCTTATATAATTTATTAATTATTTCAAAGATGTATAAGATATCTTATGGAAGGAATTTTTTGTCATTATTTTTAAAGTAACCATTAATCATTATAAATCTTTCAATTTTAATAATTCTTAATTTGGTTTATAAAGTATAAATGTGAAAATTTATAAAGACTTCCAATTAGTCCATGCTTCTATTGAAATTCAAAACAACTCTACTGAGCATGTTTTCTTAAAAAAAAGCACTGGTACAGGTAAAGAAAAATATTATTTGTTTAAGTAAAACCCCTGAATGGTAAGATCTTTGAATATTATCTTGACTATAAACATTGATTTTATTTTGATTTGATTTTATATAGTTTCATACAGAACTTATGGCTATCCAGTTATTAACACTTATAGTCTTACATCCTATCCATCATTATATTTTGGCATTGAACAAGGACATACTCAGACTGCTTTATAGTCTAGGAAAACATAGTATATCTATAACCTATACTTGAATTGTGCTTTGCTTTAGCTTTGAGTGACTGTAAGTACTCTTAGATCAGTACTTTGTGTCTTTCATCTTGTTGTTAGCAGTTTTTGTGCTAAGTACTAATCGGATGAGTCAAGTCTTTTCCAATGGATCTTACAGTTTGTTCTTATAATGTGCTGTGACACCACTGTCTTGGGTAGGTGATAGGTTTTAGCACTCTCAAACATGTAAAATCCACATCCTTTGGTTTATAGTTATTACCACACCACACTCTCTTTGTGCCAGTATCAAGCCATGAATCTGTAGTGTAGTGTTTGTCTATCTGTAGTGTAGTGTCTGTCTATCTGTAGTCCGTCATTATTTTATGTGTATTGTTTTAGTATAGTGTAGTGTTTGTCTATCTGTGTAGTCCGTCATGATTATGTTATGTGTATTGTTTTGGTATAGTGTAGTGTTTGTCTATCTGTAGTCTGTCATGATTATGTTATGTGTATTGTTTTAGTATAAATCAGGTAGTGTTGTCTATCTGTAGTCTGTAATAATTATTTTATGTGTATTGTTTTGGTATAGTGTAGTGTTTGTCTATCTGTAGTCTGTAATAATTATTTTATGTGTATTGTTTTGGTATAGTGTAGTGTTTGTCTATCTGTAGTCTGTAATAATTATTTTATGTGTATTGTTTTAGTATAGTGTAGTGTTTGTCTATCTGTAGTCTGTCATGATTATGTTATGTGTATTGTTTTCAGTATAAATCAGGCCATTTGTTTTCTAATTTGAATAGTTCATCATTTGTCATCCCTGGGCTTTTTTTTCTGTTTACTAGGTAATAAGGTATGAGTTTTGCTCATTGTTGAAGGTCTTATGGTGATTTGTAGCTGTAAACATCCTTGGTGAAAAATAGTCTCATTGGCAATGATACAACATCTCATTATTTGTAATCAACAAGAAAGTTACCATCATCAGAATCAAAACCAGGATCATCATCTTTGACTCTCTGTAACATCTCTAGAACCTTCTGCTTATCTTCTTTGCTATTAAAGATTTTACAAACATGATAAAATTAGTACAAGAGATAAACATTTATACAATTCTTTAAATGTTACTGAACCTTTTAGTTAAAGAAATTTAAAGTTGAGGAACCATTGTAGTGATATTTATATATTTATCCTGATCATATTGCTGTGGCAGAATTAGGTTTTCTTATCCATTCTTGGAAACAATGTATGAACTGCTTTTATACATACTGTCTATGTATATATATTAGATTATTTTTCCTGGGGACGGTATGGTGTGGGGCCTCAGTGGACGAGTGGTCTGAGAAGTCAAACTACTGTATCAATAGCCTGTCAACACTTAGGTTGTGAGTTGGAATCTGGCACATGACAGGTGCATTCCACTCTAAACTTTACTGACTAGGATTTTCAGTTTTCCAACCAAAGGTCAGTGAGTCTCTCAAGGCACTCCGGCTTCCTCCACCAATAAAAACTGACCGCCACAAAATAGCACTATATTGCTGAAAGTGGTGTTAAACACCAATCAATTTTAATTCATAAACATGATAAAGGGGCATAACACAAGACCAGTCAAAGTTATGCCACCCAACATGGATCAAACTTGATCTGTGTTTAGTGGAAATAAGCATTCTGTTTCATAACATTTGGTAGAGTCAAAGTAATGTTAGAGTGCGAAAACAGCAAATTTGACAATTTTTCCATTTATAAAGGGACATACATTTGTACCTCTAGAACAGTAATGGTGATGACACCCAAATCTAAATTTGACCTGTGTTGTTGGTAATAAGCATTGTGTATAAGTTTTATAACATTTGGTTTAGGCAAATAAAGTTTGATATGATGAAGACATAATCTTTAAATCAGTTTAATTGAGGTCTGGAGCTACCATGTCAGAAACTGCTAGTAGTCCTTTGTTAATTTATGTATCATTGTCATTTTGCTTTCCAGTAGTTTCTTTTGTTACCTATTCTGACATCGGACTCGGACTTCTTTTAAACTGAGTTTTACTGTGCGTATTGCTGTGTTTGTTTATTCTACATTGGCTAGAGGTACAGGGGAGGGTTGAGGTCTCACAAAACATGTTTAACTCCGCTGCATTTTTGCACCTGTCCCAAGTCAGGAGCCTCTGGCCTTTGTTAGTCTTGTATGTTTTTTAATTTTAGTTCATTTATATGTTTTGGAGTTTAGTATGACGTCCATTTTCACTGAACTAGTACACTTTTTTGTTTGGGGCCAGCTGAAGCCGCCTCCGGGTGTGGGATTTTCTCGCTGTGTTGAAGACCCATTGGTGGCCTTCGGCTGTTTTCTGCTCTTTGATGGGGTTGTTCTCTCTTTGACACATTCCCCATTTCCATTCTCAATTTAATTGGAGTGTGGAAATGGCAAATTCAGCAATTTTTCCATTTATAAAGGAATATAACTAAAGAACGGTAATGGTTATGCCCCCAAATTTGGATTTGATCTGTTTTTGGTGGTAATAAGCATTGTGTATCAGTTTCATAATATTTGGTTGAGGCAAAGTAAAGTTGACCGACAAAAGAAAACATTAATGCAAGGGCAGGGACATAAAAATCCAGAAAACTGTTATACTAATCATTATAATGTTTTAATGCCCTTTGATCCTATTGATAAGAACATATAAAAATTCCTAGTTTTGTCTGACTTCTGGGCTGTCTCACAAATAGGTAGCTTTATAACATCTTTTGATTTACGCATGCAATTTATTTTTAGCAACTTTCGCAGATAGAAAAATTATGGGTAAAATTGTCATGGATATGTAAGACTTGGGAATCTTAACTTATTCAAATACATCAAGTAAATTTGAAACTTGCCTTATTTAATTGCTGCAGAGTGGTCTAGAAAGGGGTAAATGCGAAATAAAGTATCTGCTACAATAAGTTGGTTTATAGTATTGGTAGTGAATCCCTGGTTAGTGTGTGAGATATCTAATTAGCTGTTCGCCTAGTGAATCCCTGGTTAGTGTGTGAGATATCTAATTAGCTGTTCGACTAGTGAATCCCTGGTTAGTGTGCTGAGATATCTAATTAGCTGTTAGACTAGAGGGATAGTAGTGGATCTCTGGTTAGTGTGCTGAGATATCAATTAGATATCTCAGCACACTAACCAGGGATTCATTAGTCTAACAGACAATAGACTATTTTCATATTACCGACTTTTGACTCCGGATTATATAATTTGTCGACTGGTTACCTTGGACATCATGGTACTCGATCAAGTAAGAGCAACCAAAATAAGTAAAATCAACATATAATCTGTGTAATTTGAGGGGAAAGTTTACTGTTTTCCGATGATTTTGTAGTGAAAAAAAAATGTAAAGCAGGTAATTTTCCCTCAAAATTGTACCGATTGAACGCTTGGTTTTACTTCTTTAGCTTGCTCTTACCTGACTTGGTACCATGATGTCCAAGGTAACCAGTCGACAAATTATATAATCCAGAGTCAAAAGTCATTAATATGAAAATAGGGGTAAATGCGAAATAAAGTATCTGCCACAATAAGTTGGTTTATAGTATTGGTAGTGAACCCCTGGTTAGTGTGTGAGATATCTAATTAGCTGTTAGACTAGTGAATCCCTGGTTAGTGTGCTGAGATATCTAATTAGCTGTTAGACTAGAGGGACAACCACTATGATCACTACTGAAACTACAATTACCTAAACATGCTAAATGACCTAATGTTAACTACAAATATGGAATCATAATGTGAACTACAAACCTGGAATCAAAGTCTTTCAATCCTTCCACAAAACACTCCTTGTAAAAATTCTCTGAACATTCCAGATGTTTTTCACTTTTGTAACATTCTAATGAGCAGTATTGGACATTACAGCGAGGACATGTGTACTTAGCTTTAGTTGTCAAACACCTGTAAAAATAAAAATAAAACAGATTTAACAGCCAGGACATGTGTACTAAGCTCTAGTTATCAAACATCTGTAAAGATAAAGAATAAAACAGATTTAACTGCCAGGACATGTGTACTTAGCTTTAGTTATCAAACATCTGTAAAGATAAAAATAAAAGATTTAACAGCAAGGACATGTGTACTAAGCTTTAGTTATCAAACATCTGTAAAGATAAAAATAAAACAGACTTAACAGCCAGGACATGTGTACTTAGCTTTAGTTGTCAAACACCTGTAAAAATAAAAATATAACAGATTTAACAGCGAGGATATGTGTACTAAGCTCTAGTTATCAAACATCTGTAAAGATAAAAATAAAACAGACTTAACAGCAAGGACATGTGTACTAAGCTCTAGTTATCAAACATCTGTAAAGATAAAAATAAAACAGACTTAACAGCCAGGACATGTGTACTTAGCTTTAGTTGTCAAACACCTGTAAAAATAAAAATATAACAGATTTAACAGCGAGGATATGTGTACTAAGCTCTAGTTATCAAACATCTGTAAAGATAAAAATAAAACAGACTTATCAGCCAGGACATGTGTACTAAGCTTTAGTTATCAAACATCTGTAAAGATAAAAATAAAACAGACTTAACAGCCAGGATTTGTGTACTAAGCTCTAGTTATCAAACACCTGTAAAAATAAAAAATAAAACCGACTTAACAGCTAGGACATGTGTACTTAGCTTTAGTTATCAGACATCTGTAAAGATAAAAATAAAACAGATTTAACAGCCAGGACATGTGTACTAAGCTCTAGTTATCAAACATCTGTAAAGATAAAAATAAAACAGACTTAACAGCCATGGTTAGTGTACTAAGCTCTAGTTATCAAACACCTGTAAAGATAAAAATAAAACAGACTTAACAGCCAGGACATGTGTACTTAGCTTTAGTTATCAAACATCTGTAAAGATAAAAATAAAACAGACTTAACAGCCAGGACATGTGTACTTAGCTTTAGTTGTCAAACACCTGTAAAAATGAAAATAAAACAGATTTAACAGTGAGGACATGTGTACTAAGCTCTAGTTATCAAACATCTGTAAAGATAAAAATAAAACAGACTTAACAGCCCCTTTAATAGCAGACTTGTTTTTGTACTGTTATGAATCACAGTTTATGACCAAACTCAGTAAAGACCCGTCTAAATTGCATTTAATTGATAAATTCAACAACACTTACCGTTATCTTGATATTTTTTCGCTAAATAATCAAGAATTTTCTCAATATACATGTACTGCCGAAATTTACCCAAAGTAACTTATTTTAAATAAATCAAATTTAAAAGGTAACAACTGTCCTTTCCTAGATTTAGATATTTTGGTTTTACCCGGGAAACTCCAAACTAAAATTTACAACAAAAGGGACGATTTTTCGTTCCCTATTGTTAATTTTCCCTTTTTGGATGGTGATGTTCCTTTGGCACCATCTTACGGTGTTTATATTTCACAACTCGTTTGCTTCGCCCATGTCTGTTGTGACGTTTTTGATTTCAATGAATGTAATCTATGTATGACTGGTAAATTATTAAGCCAGGGATTTCGTTTCCACAAATTACTTAAAACCTTTACTAAATTCTTCCACAGATATAAAGATTTGGTTTTGAAGTTTGGTTGTACCTGTAGAAAACTTATTTCAAACGGGATTGCACATCCTTATTTTTACGGCAATATTGTTTACCGTGCCCGGAAATTTAGAAACGATCCTGTTAAACTTATCGATCCTTAAAATAAACTTATTCTAAAAGGTTACCAATTCAACACTGTAATTAGATCATTGTATATTGTTTTTATTGGTACTGATATTGATTTTGTTATCAGTAAATTAAAAGCAAACTAAATATAATTGTTATATACATATACACATTCATTGATTTTTTAGTCTTAGATGCATGATTTTTTTTATTAGTTGTTAGTGGGTTTGAACTAGCTGTCAGAGACTGTGAGTACTCTCAGATCTGTACTTAGTGTCTTTTTGTTGTTTGGATGTACAAGTACCCGGCCACGTCCACTTGTATTTGTAGTATTTATATTTTTATCCATCTGATGAGTTAAGCCTCTTTCAACTGATTTTTATAGTTCGTTCTTATGTTGTATTGTTACACCACTGTCCCAGGTTAGGGGGAGGGTTGGGATCGCGCTAACATGTTTAACCCCGCCACATTCTGTATGTATGTGCCTGTCCCAAGTCAGGAGCCTGTAATTCAGTGGTTGTCATTTGTTTATGTGTTACATATTTGTTTTTCGTTCATTTTTTGTACATAAATTAGGCCGTTAGTTTTCTCGTTTGAATTGTTTTACATTGTCATATCGGGGCCTTTTATAGCTGACTGTGCGGTATGGGCTATGCTCATTGTTGAAGGCCGTACGGTGACCTATAGTTGTTAATTTCTGTGTCATTTGGTCTCTTGTGGAGAGTTGTCTCATTGGCAATCATACCACATCTTCTTTTTTATATTTCAAATGCATTTTATGTTTCAGAAATTTATAAACTTTTCTGGATTTTGATATTCCTTTTTTTTCAGTCCTGCAGAAGGTGCCAAAATAAACTAAGTTGGGAATGAGTTTTGAGAAGCTCCCCTCATATAATAAATGTTGTGAGTAGCAGGGATCCAAATTTACTTTAAGCACTGGAAGGTCCAGGACCTTAGACCAAAGATACTTTAAGGTCCTCCATTATTCTTAGAAGGTCAAATTTTTAATTAAAATTCAAATTATAAAAACAGAAAATGCTTACCATAACAAAATACCCATCACATCTTACTACATTAACCTAATGTTTTTCTTAATTTTCTTAAATAAATTCAGTCAGAAAAAGGCTTCTTTTTTTTTTCCAACACTATATGCTGTGTTAAATAACACTTTGTACCTTTATAATTGGTTTGGTTTCAATTGCTGCTTAAGAACACTGGCCGTCTTAACTTTGTGTCAGATTACAGCTCAACTTAGTTTTCTAACTTGAGGTCAGTTTCTTTTAACCACTTTTTTAGCAAGATACATAGATGGGGTCAAGTTTTAAATTTTGTTGTCCAATGGTACCTGGGCACTTTCTCTTTCAGTTTTTGTGGGAAAAATTTACGTTCTTGTTTTTCAATAATGTATTTTAGGTCTTTAGTCAGATCCTTCTTTCGGGCTGAGTTGAGCCTTTTCATCAATCACCCCCTTGTATCCCCTATTGCACCAATCATCCCCTGTGTATCCCCTGTTTCATCGGGGTTTCTTTTGGAAGGGGTCACTCCAAAACCAAACAGACTCCTACCGTTTACTGGTTATGTTTTAATATTATGTTCAGGAGTTTCACAGGATCTTGAACGGCGACCAGTCACACGACTACACATCAATTCAATTGTGAAGAATTTACGCAAATACATAAGTTTCCTTTCAGTAAAGTTGCATATTTCAAGACTATTTTTATTCTTGATTTCATCTATTTTTGTTCAAAATGCTTTTGTTTCAAATAATTATGACATCTTGAAAGGCTATTTTATTTTTTTGCTTTGATGCCTTACTGTAGCATGACGTCTTGAAAGGCGTCAAAGCAAAACAATAAAATAGCCTTTCAAGACGTCATAATTATTTGGACTAGAGTTTCATTTGATATGGTCCACTCAGTTACACAGTTTAAATCACCTATTGTTTGTAATACTCTATTGTCCATTTAAATCAATACCACTCCAGGGGTTCAAATTAACGGTGGTCCGAGGTCCATGACCTTCCATTTACATGTTCAGACCTTCCCACCGGTAGTTAGGTACACCCAACAGGTTTTTCATATTTTTGTAGGTTAAAAAGTTAAAACCTTTACTAAATTTTTCCACAGATATAAAGATTTGGTTTTGAAGTTTGGTTGTACCTTTAGAAAACTTATTTCAAACGGGATTGCACATCCTTATTTTTACGGCAATATTGTTTACCGTGCCTGGAAATTTAGAAACGATCCTGGTTAACTTATCGATCCTTTAAATAAACTTATTCTAAAAGGTTACCAATTCAACACTGTAATTAGATCATTGTATATTGTTTTTATTGGTACTGATATTGATTTTGTTATCAGTAAATTAAAAGCAAACTAAATATAATTGTTATATACATATACACATTCATGGATCTACAATCTGTCGATACCTGTATCTTGGCATTGCACAAGGTCATGTTTTTCTCTGACTGTTTATGACGTCTTTACACTAAATCCATTGGATGTTGGATGTGTACGGATTGATTTTTTAGTCTTAGATGCATGATTTTTTTTATTAGTTGTTAGTGGCTTTGAACTAGCTGTCAGAGACTGCGAGTACTCTCAGATCTGTACTTAGTGTCTTTTTGTTGTTTGGATGTACAAGTACCCGGCCACGTCCACTTGTATTTGTAGTATTTATATTTTTATCCATCTGATGAGTTAAGCCTCTTTCAACTGATTTTTATAGTTCGTTCTTATGTTGTATTGTTACACCACTGTCCCAGGTTAGGGGGAGGGTTGGGATCGCGCTAACATGTTTAACCCCGCCACATTCTGTATGTATGTGCCTGTCCCAAGTCAGGAGCCTGTAATTCAGTGGTTGTCATTTGTTTATGTGTTACATATTTGTTTTTCGTTCATTTTTTGTACATAAGTTAGGCCGTTAGTTTTCTCGTTTGAATTGTTTTACATTGTCATATCGGGGCCTTTTATAGCTGACTGTGCGGTATGGGCTATGCTCATTGTTGAAGGCCGTACGGTGACCTATAGTTGTTAATTTCTGTGTCATTTGGTCTCTTGTGGAGAGTTGTCTCATTGGCAATCATACCACATCTTCTTTTTTATATTTCAAATGCATTTTATGTTACAGAAATTTATAAACTTTTCTGGATTTTGATATTCCTTTTTTTTTCAGTCCTGCAGAAGGTGCCAAAATAAACTAAGTTGGGAATGAGTTTTGAGAAGCTCCCCTCATATAATAAATGTTGTGAGTAGCAGGGATCCAAATTTACTTTAAGCACTGGAAGGTCCAGGACCTTAGACCAAAGATACTTAAAGGTCCTCCATTATTCTTAGAAGGTCAAATTTTTAATTAAAATTCAAATTATAAAAACAGAAAATGCTTACCATAAAAAAATACCCATCACATCTTACTACATTAACCTAATGTTTTTCTTAATTTCTTAAATAAATTCAGTCAGAAAAAGGCTTCTTTTTTTTTTCCAACACTATATGCTGTGTTAAATAACACTTTGTACCTTTATAATTTGTTTGGTTTCAATTGCTGCTTAAGAACACTGGCCGTCTTAACTTTGTGTCAGATTACAGCTCAACTTAGTTTTCTAACTTGAGGTCAGTTTCTTTTAACCACTTTTTTAGCAAGATACATAGATGGGGTCAAGTTTTAAATTTTGTTGTCCAATGGTACCAGGGCACTTTCTCTTTCAGTTTTTGTGGGAAAAATTTACGTTCTTGTTTTTCAATAATGTATTTTAGGTCTTTAGTCAGATCCTTCTTTCAGGCTGAGTTAAGCCTTTTCATCAATCACCCCCTTGTATCCCCTATTGCACCAATCACCCCCTGTGTATCCCCTGTTTCATCGGGGTTTCTTTTGGAAGGGGTCACTCCAAAACCAAACAGACTCCTACTGTTTACTGGTTATGTTTTAATATTATGTTCAGGAGTTTCACAGGATCTTGTACGGCGACCAGTCACACGACTACACATCAATTCAATTGTGAAGAATTTACGCAAATACATAAGTTTCCTTTCAGTAAAGTTGCATATTTCAAGACTATTTTTATTCTTGATTTCATCTATTTTTGTTCTACAAAAATATAAAAATCCGTCGGGTGTACCTAACTACCGGTGGGAAGGTCTGAACATGTAAATGGAAGGTCATGGACCTCGGACCACCGCTAATTTGAACCCCTGGAGTGGTATTGATTTAAATGGACAATAGACTATTACAAACAATAGGTGATTTAAACTGTGTAACTGAGTGGACCATATCAAATGAAACTCTAGTCCAAATAATTATGACATCTTGAAAGGCTATTTTATTTTTTTGCTTTGATGCCTTACTGTATCATGACGTCTTGAAAGGCGTCAAAGCAAAACAATAAAATAGCCTTTCAAGACGTCATAATTATTTGGACTAATGAAACTCGTGTGTTTGCTTATTTTGCTATCTTCTGCAGACTGATAGAGGAAGAATAGTACTAGAACAGAACAGAATGGTTCACAGGTTTGTCTGTACTCAGAGTACATTTTGTGTTGTAAACACGGCCATATTTTTCTGTGATAAACCTTAAAAGAAATTGCCAATGAGACAACTCTTCACAAGAGACCAAATGACACAGAAATTAACAACAATAAGTCACTGTACGGCCTTCAACAATGAGCAAAGCCCATACTGCATAGTCAGCTATAAAAAGCCCAGAAATGACAAATTTAAAACAATATTCAAACGAGAAAACTAACGGCCTAATTTAAGTACATTAAATTGAACGAAAAACAAATATGTAACACAGCAACAAACGACAACCACTGAATATAATTTACAGGGTGAATACACCTTATCGCTATTTTTCCACCATTACTGGACATCACAAAAGTTCCCGTAAAATTTTGACGTCATAATAGAAAATATCTGACGCCACAATGGAAAAGTGATTGTTGTATGACGTCAAAAGTTCAAGCGGGACAGCTGTCAGCCTTCCAAATAGCGATAAGGTGTATGAAAGAGTTCATATTAAACATTATTTGAGAAAAACTGCAATTTCTGACGGTAACTGGTACTCAACCAGTCCATATTTTCAATTTTTCCTTAACTCAATAATCATGGCATCTACAAACATTCATTTACATACAATTTACACACGTTTTCTTCACGATTTTCCATTTTTGAAGGATCTTTTTTTCTAGGGGAGAGCAGCACTAAGAATTTATGTTAATTTATGTTTGTGCTGTATCTTCCTTCATTAATAGGAGCACCTAATCTAACCCTTCTTCTTCCATTAATTTGCATTCCACCTATTGTGTATTATCGCAAATATCCTATCTTATCTTTAAATCCCATTTGTAGAAGAACCATATTTTCATATGTAGAACATACGCTCGCTTTAAATAAAGCTCGAAATAAAGTGCTGGTAATCCCTCCACCATGATTGGAGATCTAAACATATTTTCATGTGTTGAAATCAACCTGGTGCTCGCTATAAACAGTGATATTACTCCCTCTGCCATCCCATATGTGATGTGCACATATTTACAGTGAAGTCCTACCCACACACAGTGGCGGATCCAGAAATTTTCATTAAGCAACATAACTATAGAAGGTTTAAGTTTAATAAATCTATCATACATTGCAGTGCGTTAATGTAACAATAACGCAATGTAACCGTAGACCCAAATATTATTGTTACATTCGTAATTAATCGGTTCCTTACCCAACCCTGCATTCCGGCAATTAGTCTCCATTGTAGCAATAATTTTTATATTATTGTTACATTTCCATGTAACCGTAGCAAGTGCCATTTTTATTTTGTATATAATTCACTGTAAATTGAAATTAGACCCCACGCATTTAATTTTCAATCTGTATCTGTATCTGTATGAATACGTTGTCGATACCAATACTGGCTTTAATACAATGGTTTGAGAGAGCGCCGCCGATTTATTGACGGGGCGTGAGAGCAGATTTGAAGCTCTCTACGCTTGATGCGCGCACAACAGTGTCGTCTATCTGATTCCACGCGATCACTGTCTTTACAAATAATGAGTTTGAATATTGTGGTGTTTTGCTTGGTGGAATGTCAAAACACTTAGAGTGATTCTTTACTGGCTTTCCACAATATTTGTTGCATGGTATTCTTCGAATTTCTTGCCAGTTGTGGTTCTCTTCGGACGAGCTTTTTTGAGGAACTGTTTGGATCAATAGCGGGAACCAGCCCCTCAACCACTTTGTACATAAATATTAACTTCTGGCTTGTTCGTCTTGTCTGGAGATCTTATAGTTCCAGTTGGGCAAGCATTTATAAGAAACATCCGTCCTCTCTTGACTTGTAATCTCTGGTGATAAATCTTGCCGCTTGACGTTGTATCCTTTTAAGCTTATTTATGTAAGTTACCGTGTAGGGGTCCCATACTATGGTTCCATATTCCATCGTTGATCTGACGAGCGAGATGTAAGCTGTTTTTATACAATCTTGTGGGCAGTATTTCAAGTTTCTTCTAAGAAAGCCTAGTGTTGAATTTGCTTTCTTTGCCACGTTTGATATGTGGGTGGTCCATTTGAGGTCCTCCGAAATTTGTAGGCCTAGGTACGGGTTATGCTGGACTTGCTGTAGTATGTGTCCATTTAAACTGTAGAATTTATGGCTCTTGTTTCTGATGGTTAGGATGTAGCGTTTTTAGCATTGAACCGCATTCCCCAGTTATCTGACCATACTTCTAGGTTTTTGATGTCTTCTTGAAGTATGTCGTGGTCTTTCTGAGATTTCACTTTTCTGTAAAGAAGGCAGTCATCACCGAAAAGTCTGACTGAATTAATTTTTAATTTTGTCATATTCTAACTCTGTTATTATTATTAATTAAATTTTAACTAGTACATAAAAATTTTTAATAAAGCATTTTCAAAAATAAACATTTTAAATGCGGTGACCCTGCAAATAGGGTGGACTTCCTGAAGAAGAAGAAGAAGAAGAAGAAGAAGAAGAAGAAGAAGAAGCATGCGCGGCATAGTAAAATCAGTGCCCGGCACGTTATCATCAGTATGTTGATGGAGTGTTGAACTATAAAGAAGAAGAGAAGAGACATTTCCTTATGTAGAAAATGGTGGATTAAACCTGGTTCTATAACTAGCTAAACCTCTCACTTGTTTGACAGTCACATAAAATCCCATTATATTGACAACAATGTGTGAACAAAACAAACACAAAATGCTTGAGGCCAAAATTACATTTCTGTCTTTTCGATTATTCATCATTTTGCATTTACTAGCACTGGATGAATACCATTGCGGACGGACTGTTAGTTCGCGAGGGTATCATCATATTGGTAGTCAGTTCTTACGTACTGACATGAATTTTAACATAATTTTCGAAAATTCCCCGTTGAAAAAGAGAGGCCGAAGATATCAAAGTGATATTCGAACTCATATTGATTTAAGAAATAACTTAGAAGCTTTGGTTGTAAATCTCGGAGGCAAAGTTGACCGTAACCAAATATGGCTCTTTTTTTTTAGGTCATATGGAAGATAAATTAAAAAAAAAGCTTCAGACGAACGAAAATTATTAGTTGTAGTTTTTTTTCTTTTATAAAAACCGACACGATTTGAATAGTTATAACATCTTTTATTTTTTGCAAGTCTCTTTTTTTAACTGAAATAACGAAATTTAACTCGTTTGAGTAAGTTGTGAAACACAACTTTTCAAAAGCACTGTTAAAACATGATATTGTACAATTTGGATTTCAAAATGTTGAGTATCTCCTTCTTCGGTATTGAGATCAGTTTGACTCCTAAACAATTTAAAGAGAATAAAGCAAGTTGTGATTGAAAACAAGTAAACCCCACTAATTACAGAGTATCATCGATGAAACCAATTAGGCAACAACAGAGAAAGGACAACAAAAACTGCCCACAGGTACACACATAATCGGTACTGTTCTCACCCTCATTGCTCTCTTTTTTCTATAGATTAGAATTTTATGAAATAAGAAACCAATAACCACAATTATAATTGATGAGAACTTATCTGTATTTAAAGAGATCATTTTAAGGTCAGAAGAAGTCTTTTGAATTTATGTCCTGTTAACTTGTATAAACTCTTAAGTGAAAAAAGAGAATTATCCTATTTTCATTAATTTGTCTTTAATCTCTATAAAGTATCCTTTTTACCAATTTAATTATATAGCTTCAAATTCATTACGGATCTTCATTAATGTTTTAGTTTCTTTTTGTCGCCGTTTGTTTAAATTTCATATGCATGTTTTTAACTCATTTGAATTACAAAATTTGCAACATTATTGATTTAGTTGAAAGATAAGAAAGATCAAGTGTTTTTGATGCTCATTTAATCCTTTCCAGTAAATTTTTGTGACAGTTTTTCTATTACGGAGAAAATACATCGTATTATTCATTTTTTTTCCGTCTTTATATGGATGAAATGTTTCAATCACATCATTTTACATTTGGTATCTCGAAAAAAAATTAGACAATTGGTTATGACATTTCTTTAGAGCTGTGCATCAAAATGCATGTCAGTGCGTGACCTTTTCATTAATATTGACACAGATGGACGACTTAAAACTAGAATCTATGACAAACGTGATGATTTCAATTTTCCAATTATCAACTTCTCATTTCTCAGCAGTAACATACCCTCTGTTCCATCGTATAGCGTAAACATACCCTTGTTAATACCACATTCCCTTGAATGCCACCCTATCCAGAAATCATTGACAGAGGTGTGCTCCTGACACAACAGAGTTATGAGGAAAAACGACTGAAATCGTCACTAAATGATTTGACGGTCACCATCACAAATTGGTTGCCAGATACGATGTGTATGTGTCGCAACTCACTATCGACATGTTTTCGCGGTCTTGTATATTTAGATGCCAGAAAAGTCGTCTGATATATTATTTACCGAGTGTGTCTTATTCCAGATTGCGATATTGTGAATGAGTGTAGATTCCTTTTGCAGGCGATGCGTGCACAGCAGGAGATGCTTACCCAGTCGACGCACCCAAACTCGCTCCTTTTGGAGTTCATACGATTTTCTTTAATTTTTTTTTACTTGATCTGCATCTTCCTAATGGATTTATAAGGTGTTTACGTCGGTAAACTATTGTTGCCTGTAATTTGGTATACATCAAGGCTGTTATTTTTTCTTATGAAATCCCATCCTAGAGTGCCTGTTATAGCTTACATTACTGTATTATTTTTTTATAATGAATTTTCTTTATTGTAACAAATAGACTAGCACAACATGTATGAACAAAGGTTTACAGAATGGCATATTCACACAAAGGAAGTATTGAATAATAAAACAACAATTGAATATATAATGGTGCAATAATAGGTTGAACATAAATAATTATCTAATAACAATGGAATCTAATTCGTTCTTGCAATATCTATTTGTGGTGTTTAAATCAAAATTCGACATTTATTAATTATTCTATAATAGGGGCCTAGGGACTCCAGTATTTGTTATATTCCTCTACAGAGAGGTTTTTAAATGAAATGTATTTTTCTAAGTTCAAGTGTTCCTTTAAATAGTTTTTTTTAAAGCATTTAAATTTGGCAATCATTCTTGTAATTTTGTTCGGTAAATAAAGTATTTTGTAAGCAGAATAATCTTATTTTTAACAAAATTCAATTTAACATTTTCGTAGTTACCAAATAGAATAATCTTAATATTCAAAGGCAGTTCAATATTTGTCATTTCAAAAATCCAGTTGTTTAGTGCATGCCAGAGACTGGCGACCATCGGACAGCTCCAAAATAAATGTTCTATGGTCTCTGGTTCTTCTTTGCAAAATTTACATATGTTGCTACTATTTATTTTCATCATATTTTGACATTACTGTATTGGTTTTTTGTTGAGGGCCATGTGATGATCTGAAGTTGTTCACATCCTTGTCCTTTACTGATACCTCGTCTCATTGGAAATCTTGACACATCTCCCTATCCTTAAAGTATATTACTCGGAAAACCATTTGTGTCCGTACTGGTCAATAAAGCAACCAACAATGTGGTAGTAGTCTGACATAAGCACTGCACGGATATTCATTAAAATAAAATATAAATTCAAAAGGGTATCTCATTAAAGATACCAGGTTTGTAATATTTTATGCGGTAGATACTTATAGATTATCGTTGGTTATCTCAACGAGATTGATTTTCTCGCTTGAGCCGGTACGGCGAAAGCGAG